GTCCTCCACAACTAGACTGAAGAACAGAACAACAGCAACTTGTCTGTTCCCCTTCCCCCAATTCCCCACCGCTGCTCCCATCTCCCCAATTCCCCAATAAAAAAAAAACAAAAAAAACCTGTAAGCAACCTAAATGACTACCCTTGGGAAGGAGGGAAAGCACAGTTCCTAGGAAGTGGTACCAGGAGGTTCTGGCGCACTGCAAGTGTTCTGTCTTGACTTGGGTGGTGGTTACACGAGTATTTAGCTGTAGTTGTCTGTGTGCGTTTCTGCACATGTTTGGAATACTTACTAAAAATAATTTAAAATATATAGAGATGCACACGACTCAACATTTATATGACAATCTAGGACATTTTGACTGATTATATATTAATGATATTAAAAATTTATTTTAAAGCAGCAAGTCATTGGGTATGACAGTAATGTACATATGTACAATTTTTTGTATGTGTTTTTATTTTAATTTTATTTTTGCACGTATTTTATTTTTAAAAGTCCTTATATTTCAGAGATGCATACTAAAATATTTATAGTGAAAGGATAGTATGTCTGAGATTTTCTGTAAAATAATCTAAGGGGGAGTGAGGGGAGGGGCACAAGGAGGTACAGTTGAAACAAGACGATATATTTATCATTGCTGAAGCCAGGGATGAGTACATGGAAGAGTTTCATTATGTAATTCCCTCTCCAGTTTGCAATTTTCCACAACCCACTTTAAAAATATAAACATACAATACTATATATACATACTATATACTACTATATGTACAGTCTAGCTGTATCCACATAATATATACTATATGTAAAATATACATATATGTATTTTTTAAATCTATATGTGCATGTAAATAGATCTGGAAGGCTACAATACACCAAACTAGTAACTGATAAATTCTGGGTCAGGAAATGAGATTGGTAGTATTTGTAATGTTTTCCTTTTCTCCAAATAGAATATATTCATATACATCTAGTAAAATCAAAAGGAATTTAAATTAAAAATAAAATAAAAACAGATTTTAAAAAATCAGTATATAAAAACTTCTCATTTTTCTGTCACCTTATAAAAAGGCAATTCTGAACATTTATTTTTTAACATTTATTTTTTTTAACATTATTTTAAAAGCTTAAAACCTAATGAGATTCAAGAAAGTAGTGTGAAAACCTGAGAATCTCTGGTGGGGTGATCAAACATCCTTCGTGTATTACATCAAAGGCAAAAACTCGGCCTCGACACAGCACTACAATGTGACTTGGGCAATGCCCTTCATGCTCTGTAAAAGGAAACAGAAGGCACAAACTCAAATCTCCCAAAGTGAAACAAGAGTAAAGCTGCATATCTACATCTAATAGAAAAAAAAATCATTCCTCCAGTGTTTCACTTATCATATATTCATCCAATATATCATATGAGCAAAAATTAACAAAATGACAGAATTTCAGTTATGATAAAATACATGCTCTTGAAACCTATCCATGTGCAACATCTAGAAATCCATAGGAGTTTCAAATATTTGTGCACCTTGAGAATCATATAAATCCCAAACTACTGCAGGGCTTTCTCGTTTTATTTATGGACAGGAATGGGAAGGGAAAAGGGGAGAGGAGGAACCCTAGAGGAGACTGTTTGAATTAAGGAGTTTCTCTCTGGGATTATTTTAATGTTGATTGTTCACTGGATGATTTAATTGCAGTAATATCTAGCTATGATTTCTCAAAAAAAAAAAAAGTTTTCAGTAGAATAAGGGCACATATGTAAGCCTGAGTGGCAAGGAGAAAGAATTTTGCCCAATCTATAGTTGTACTGAAGGCTCTGATAACACCAGGTAAGCCCCTGATAACTGATTCTATGTCTTCTTTGGCACACCTTCACTCCCCAAGAACTGTTTCCTGTCAGGCTCAGACTATTCTGATTCAGCCCCATTTGTCAGCTAGTCCCTTTGACAAGGGTCTTCCTATATGACCCCTGCTCCTTCCCTCTAAGAAAGGAACAAAGAGAAAAATAAGACATATACTGCCACTGGAAGAAAATCTACTCTTTGATATTATGTACAAGGCACTGTGCTAAATGTTTTGCACACATCATCTCATGAAATCTACTCATCAGCTATGATGAAAGACCATCTCCTGACAGCACTGCTATTTGTCTCCCTTGCATCCTATTTCCTTAAGTCCTCGGAGGTGAGCTCTGTATTTTCCTTGTCCCTCATGGCTACTTCCAACCCATTTCTTCTTTCTTCCCCTTCAAAAACCTCCATATCCTTTTACATTTATCACTACCACCTTTTATTGTTGCATCTACCGACCGCACCCTATCCAAAATGTATGGCTGGATAAAATAAAATAAGCCAGATGCCAAAATAATCAAGAAATGGTTGGGAGGAGAGTGACAGGGGATGTTACCTCAGGGTGAGCCTAAAAGGGGATATCTGAGCAGAGAACCAAATGAAGTGAAGAAGTGAACCATGGAAATATCTGCAGGAAGAGTTTCAGGAAAAGGAAACAGCGAGTACAAACGCATTAGGACAAAAAGGAGCCGGTTTGCTTAAAGGAACACAGGTCGGTGCAGCGGCAGCAGAGAGAGAAAAGGGTAGAATGGTGGGTAAGGTTGGAGCCAGGTGATACTGGCCTCAGAAAGGGCTTTCAATTTTAAGTAAGATGGGAAGGAAGCCAGTGGAGGATTTTAAGCAGGAGAGCAATAATGCCATCTGATTAATACTTTAAAAAGTCCCTCCAGCTGCTATATGGACATGAGATTATAAGAGGGAAGAGAATATACAGCAAGATCAGTTAGGAAGTAACTGAAGGGATCCAGGTAAGGATGACTGAAGTGAAAGGTGCTGGTAGCTTTGACTGGGGTGTGACACTTCAAGGAGACAAGGGGACTAGTTTTTTGGTTTTTTTTTTTTCCTTTAAGAGGGTGATATTACAGATTGGAACATTCCAGTAAAGAGAAAAAACCGGTAATGCAGCACAGAGAGGATAATCCAGAAGCAAGATCCCTGAAGAGGCAAGACGAAGAGGGGCCCAGTGCAGCATGTAAGCGGGTGTCCTTACACCACACATCAGGAGTCAGGACGGTCCGTCCATTTTTAAAAAGGCAAGGCAAAATTTTTCCCCAGTATTATTTCCGGATCTCGTCACCACTCCTGTTTGCTTTCATCGCCTCTAGTTGAGCTTTCTTCCCCAGCTTCCACTAAGGCTGGTCTTGTCAAGCGCTGTCCACATCATGTTGACAAATCCAATGGTCACTTTTAATTTTTATCTCATTTGACCTCTCAGGAGCGTTACATAACTTCCTTCCTTCTCTTGGCTGCTGTCCTTGTTTTCTTTCTACCTTGGTATCTTTGCCAGCTCCTTGTCCTCGAATCACCAAATACTATATTTGATTATGATTAGAATCACAATCATTTTCATCTATATATGTTCCAAAAGTCATCTTAGCTAATCTTATGGCTTTAAAAACGAGTTCTATGCCTCTAATGATGACTCCTACATCTTTATCTGCAGTCCTGAATTCTCCCCAGAACTCCAAACTTTGTATCTAACTGCCTACTTAACATTTCCCCTTAGATATCTAAAAGGCATCTTAAACTTAACATAGCCTAAGGGACCGCTTGATTCTCCTCCCTAAATAGCTCCTCCCAATTTTTCCCACCTCATGAACTAACACATCTATCTACCCTGTCAGTTATGCAAGCCAAATATCTTGAAGTCATCCCTAATTCCTGTTTTTCTCTTACATCTCACAACCATTCTATGAGTAATTCTGCCCAAATCCAAAATATATCCAGAATTGAATAACTTTTCACCACCTCCACGCTACCACGTGAGTACAAGTCATGATGAGGGCTCATTTGGACTACTCACACAACTTTCTAACAGGTCTCCCTCCCTCTTTACTTGTCTGTCTCCTAAAAATCTGTTCTTCAAACAGCAAGTAGAATGATGTTTGAAACATTAATCTGATCACATTGCTCTTTCTCAAACCCACTAATAGTATACATTCATATAAGAGGGAGAAACGCATACTCCCAATGAGAAATGGGCATGATGAACACAGACAAGCAAACGCTCAAAAAGAGAATTCAGATAAGGAGGCAGAAACAGAAGGATCCAAATCATATTTTCCCGATTGCCTAATACTCTGATTCATAATTCTACGCTTTAATGAAAATTCAAGCTTTCAAGGGATGCAACATAAGCATCAGGTTGGTACAGAACCATGTAAGGCACAGTTTAAAAAGCCATTCCCATGACTCAATTCCAACTAATCAGAATGACTAGAAGATAAGGTTCATAGAAAGCCTTTGATTAGTCAAAATCCAATAAGAAACACCTTCAAAATAGTATGCTCCACAGTGTCATAGTAGAAACTACAGCAAAACTACCCAAATCCCAGTGACTTTACCAAAGAAGTACAGGTGTTTTCTACTTACCAGTCCTAAAATAATTTATAATTGAATCTCTAGTAATTCCTGGAACCTTGCAGGTGTTAAACAGCATTCGGAATTGGTGCATATCTAGAGGAGTAGTCCCAACTTTATCAACAGGCAGTTTTTCTCTATTAAAACAAAAAAAAGTATTTTGATCAAGAAGTCATTATAAAACTTATAGACCACTGCCATCGCAACTGTAGTATTCACCCCCAAATAAGTAAATAGAGCTTCTCAACTTTTTGCCACCTGAGACTGTGGGTAAGTCACGTAAGTATCCTTACTTTGTTAACAGCTGCCAGTAGTTCATGTTATGCCAAAGACTTATGCTTCCTCTTTCCAGTTCAGTGCCTGCCTTTGCAGGCCAGTAGTGTTCAAAATGGGGCGCAGCCCCCACAAAGTTGACGTTCAGTTGGGAGGGTATACGAACTTCCAGGTAGGCAACATTCAGCCACCACTCCTCCAGCTATAATAAATGAAGAACATCAGCCTAATGCTATTGATAATACGTGCATGTTTAACAGCTGGCAAAAAAAAAAAAAAAAGCTACTGTATTTTTTTTTCTTCTTTCCTTTGGAACTGTAGGATCTTAAGTACTGTTCAGTTTAACTACATTATCAGAAACATGAACCAAGAAAGCACCTTCAGTCAGATCATACTGACCCAACAAAGTACTTAAGTGTGTTTTCTCAGAGTACCTGGGGTATAAACATTCAATAAATCCTCACTTAATTATAAAAATTATTAAGGAATTTACAATTTTCCTTTTCCAAGCAAAAACTGAAATACTAAATCAGAAATATAAAAAATTTTTAGTAGGCTTAAAACTAACAAGATTTTTCACAGACACTGCTTTCTGCGTGTCCCTTTCACAATACGCACTTGAATTTCACGTGTTAAGTAAGCAGATCTCATCAAATTACCTGGACTTTTTAAAAAAAATTGACATTATAAATTATAATCAATCGTTCAGAAAAAAAAAATAAAAGGATACAGGCATAACAACAACTTCTTTACCTTTATTCTAACTTAATTAAAATCACTCAAGGCTCAAGACTGAGAATAAAAGAATCTGACAGTATAAAATTTTATTATTCCATTATAGGTATTAATGGCTGATAAAAAGATCAGCTTACTTTTTATTTCTAAACTAAAAGATAGTTACAATAATTATTTCTATACTAAAGTAATGATTTTTAATTATAAAAACTCATTCTCCGGTTCATACTATAGAAGTATTTAAGCTGGAGAAACCAAAGAAGATTCTTTGTGGGAAATTACTGGGGTCCTTAACAGTTATTATACTAACACCTCAATCTAACTGAAACAAAATCGCCATAACCATTCTCCACTCCAATTGTGTAATGGCCCGTTTTCTCCCATGCACTGTTTAACTATTTGTGTACCACCTATGCGACATGTCTATTTTGGTAGTGTTTTGGAGTTTTTTTGGTTATGATTACCTGGACAAAATGTTTCTCTCAAGCATGATCTACAAGATCACCTGAATCAGAACCCTATGGAATAGCTGTGAAAATAAGGATTTCTGGGCCTCCATTCCAGAGAAACTGAATCAGAATCACTGGTCCCAGGAAATGTGCATTTCATCAAGTTTCCCATATGATAAGAAAGGAGCCCAGCCACAACACTCAAAACTCCCCAGAGTTAAGTGATTCATTAATACTTTTGGGTAATGATAATGAAAACAATGACTGCAAGGATTTTTACAGTAATAATTTTTAAATGAAAATACATCTTTTTATTTTTCACTCTTTAAGCATCATCAATTTTCTAATTATAATAAGTACAATAACATAAATACCCAATTTCTTTTTCCTTTTGCCCTTTCAAGTAATTTCTGCTGCAATTTTTCTCCAAGACCATTTTGAAATTTTTGAACAATTTCTTCAGTTTTCTTATATTCTTCTTCATTTGCAAATGGCTTTACTATAAAGAAATAATATGCATTAAAGTAGTTAGACATCAAGTACCACAAATTCACCTCAATTATTATTGCTTACACAAATCTTAAGACTCAGTAATATAAAACAATTATGTATGTATTAATTATCACAGCAATCCAATAAATTTAGAGTTTACAACATAAAAATAGCTGAAAAGCAATACAAAAAATAAAACAGTAGAAATTATGTAATCTAATAACCATATTCTAAAAAATTATTTTAGAATCATTCTGGATGACAGTTAAAATGGCAAAGCAGGATTATCATGTAGCTATTAGTCTAACAGGAAAGTACCGTAAATCCTGTTTAGCCACGAATAAGAGAAATCACAGCTTCTTTCCATTAATGTTCAAGCAGAGCCTTTAACGTTCTATATGTAAATGCAAAATGTATGTAAATATAAGTGTAAAGCCTGCCCAGAGCAATTTTGGGTGCCTTATGGCCAATGATGTTTTCCTTCGGAAAAAAAGAAAAAGAGAAAAGAAAAGGTACAGGGTTCCTAGTCCATCAAAACCAAGTGCTCTGAAAGTTAAGCTACAGATGAAAATGAATTTTAGAAAGTGAAGGGCATTACTGTTTTCCTTTTGTTTCATTTTGCCTCTTCAAGTCTTAAAGTCAATTTAAATATCTGTATTCATAAAGAGTGTAAGTGAAGTGAATAATCAAGAGTAAATAATCAGTGAATTTTTTTAAAAAGACACTAGAATTCCAAGGTGAAAGTAAATGAGAAAAAAAAAAGAGAGAAGAAGAAATTAAAAAATCTGAGGGCTTCCATTTAAACAAAGTGATACATACATTAACAGCCACTATTTCCAGAAACTCGCTAAAGTGACAGTAATTAAAAAGGGATAAATCCTAAGGACAAAGAAAATGAAAAAGAGAAGATAGCAGACAAGTTAAGCTAACATTTTACAAATTAGAAAACATATAGGAAAATGGCAGCTGACTTTGTAGAATGGAGAAAGTATCTACAGCCTGGACAGTGGAAGGTAGTGAGAGACAGGGAAGAGTTAGGTGCAAACCAAGAAGTGAGCCAATTCCTACAGTATAATCCCAGAAAGATTCAAGAATTCCAAGACAAATGGACTCCCCCAGGCAGGGGGCAAAGTGAGGCTGGAAACAGGATGGCTTGAAAGTCTAGAAGCAGCAGACCACCACCCCACCCACACTTGCCCCTGTAGATGTCCTTCTCCACTTTAGAAAATCAGTCAACTTCCTCCCAATGCCAGTAGAAATGTGGAGGTTTACTCTCAGGAGAAGTTAATGCAGGCAAGCAGAATACCTGAATTCTAGCCCATGTTTTAAAAAGAGGGATTATAATGAAAGTATACACCCATAACAATGAGCCCTCATACTAAGCGACCAAAACACTAGCAGTAAGGCTTATGCCTTCTAAACAAATGATGAGAGGCTTTTTCTTTGGGGAAACTGATTAGTCTAGGAGAAAGGAGTGCTGGTATTTGGGTAAGCCCCAATGAAGCTGATAAGTTTTCTTCACTATTACCCTACAAGGCTCACTGTAAGGTCCACTAGTCGCCAAACCCAACCCATGCACACAGAGCTCTTACTCAGCTTTTTAGGTTCTATCTCAAATATGAATGTCTAAGAAGTGCCAGATATTTGAGGAAAGCCTCTCACATGAGATTCAGAAAGCAGAAGAACAAAGGATTGGTGATAGCAAAGAGTAAATAAGACCAAACAGAGAAAGGCACTAATAATGAATATACAGCCCAATCTTCCAGAGAGTAGATATCAAGGACTGCAGTAACTATCAGACCATTGCTCTAATTTCCCACACAGGTGACGCTGAAGGTGATACAACAAAGGCTCCTAACTTATTATGGAGCAAGAAATGCCAGCTGTTCAAGATGGGAATCAGAAAAGGAAGAGGCACTCGAGACCTAACTGCAAGCAGTCATTGGGTACCGGAGTGCGCCAAAGAATTTCAAAAGGTTAGTCTACGAGGTGTGATCAAACAATATGGCGAATGTTTACATTAAAAAATATATACATATTACAGTAAAAGACACATTGCCATTAATCCCCCTTAAAATACTCCCCCTCACTTGGAACACACTTATCCCATCATTCTTGCCCCTTTCTGAAGCAGTTCTGAAAGTCCTCTTTCGTGAGTATCTTTAGTTGTGCCGTCATGGCTGTCTCGAATTCCTGAATTGATTCAAAATGTCTACCTTTCATGGTCATTTTGGCTTTGGGGAAGAACCAGAAGTCGCACAGTGCCAGATCTGGTAGATTAGGTGGGTGAGGACACACCGTAATGTTTTTATTTGACTGAAATTGCCATATACCAGAAGCGATCTGTAACACAGAGTCTTTCTGTTGTGATCACAAAATAAGGTGAATGCTGCTGCCAAGTGCCATCCAACGGAAAGGCAGGGATCTTCAATATGGGAAGCAGCACGATAAACCCTAGTAACAGTGTGGGACAAGTTTCAACTTGTTTGGTGCAGTCAGTCGGGTGTGAGCCATGGTTGAGAGAAGGTGTGCTTTAAAGTGTGCCATAAATCATTCTCCATCATGACAATGTTCCATGTCACACATGGTTTCTCATATGTGGCCATTTCTGTCCAATAAAAACATTATGATGTGGGGCCGGCCGAGTGGCTCAGTTGGTTAAGAGCTCGCTCAAGAGTTTGAGCTCTGAGCAACAGTGGTTCGATGCCCGGCCCGAGCTGAGCTGCCACTGAGCTGCCAACAGGTGGCAGAATGGCTCAGCTAAAAAAAAAAAAAAAATTATGGTGTGTCCTCATCCACCTTATTCACCAGATCTGGCACCATGCGACTTCTGGCTCTTCCCCAAAGTTGAAATGATTCAGGACATCGAGGCAGCCACAAGGCAACTATAGATACTCGCAAAAGAGGACTTTCGGAACTGCTTCAGAAAGTGGCAAGAATGATGGGATAAGTGTGTTCAAAGTGAGGAGGAGTATTTGAGGGGGATTAATATTAATGGCAATGTGTCTTTTACTATAATAATTTTTTTTAAACATTCACCGTGTTGTTTGATCACATCTCATATGTTTTATAGATTACAGTAAAGCCTTTGACTGCATCAATCATGAAAATCTATGGGTTACTCTGAAAGAAATGGGTGTGCCTCAGCATTTGATCATCCTGTTGTGTAAACTGTATTGTGGACAGGATGCCACTGTCGGGGCAGAATATGGAGAAACAGGATGGTTTCCTATAGGCAGGGGTGTTAGGCAAGGGTGCATTTTGTCTCTGTATTTGTTTAAGCTGTGTGCAGAATGTACCATATGAAAGACTCAGCTAGACTCAGAGGAAGAGGAGTAAAAACTGGTGGAAGAAATAGCAATAACTTAACATATGAAGAACGACACCATCTTCCTGGCAGAAAGTAGTAATGATATGAAACGACATCTGATGAAAGTGAAAGAAGAAAGTGCCAAAGCGGGACTGCATCTGAACATCAAGAAGATAAAAATCCTGACTACAGAAGAAATACACAACTTTAACACAGGCAACGAAGATATTGAAATTGCTAAGATTTTACTTACCTTGGTTTAGTCATCAATTCAAATGGAGACTGCAGCCAAGAAACCAAGCAAAGGCTGAGACTCGGAAGGGCCGCAATGGAAGAATTAGGCCAGATCATCAAGAGCAAAGATGTGTCACTAGAGACCAAGGCTAAGATCACCCACCGCCTTGTATTTCTGGTAACTACATAGGAATGCAAAAGTTGGAGAGTGAAGAAGGCTGTTAGAAAAAAAAAACAAACTGATTCATTTGAAATGTGGTGCTGGAAGAGAGCTCCATGGGTACCCTGGAGCGCCAGAAAGACTAACAGGTGGGTCTTAGAGCAAATTAAGCCTGAAACATTGCTGGAGGTAAAAACAACAGAACTAAAGCTGTCCTACCTTAGGCACATCATGAGAAGGCAGGGTTTTCTTAAAAAAATAATAATAATGCTGGGTAAAACAGAAGAGCAGGAACAGAGGAAGAGCAAATATGAGATGGATTGACCCCATAAAAGAAGCCATAGGCATGAGTCTACAGGACCTAAGCAGGGCTGCTGAGGACACAACACTGTGGATATCACTCATTCATAGGGTCGCCAGGAGTCAGAACCGACTCAACAGCAATTAACACGCTAATAACTAAAGGGAAACATTTTTAAATTAAAAACTTATCCAGAAGGACCTAGATTCAAATATTAGGAGTTCCAAAAAGAGCAAGCAAGGAAGGGAAAATTATCAAAGAAACAGTACTTTAAAATTTTCCTAGAACTGAAGAACATGATATTTTAAACTAAAAAAACCCCACTGGGTGTTTAGAGAAATATATTTAAAAATCCTACACTCTAAGAGACATCATTAAGAAACTCAGAATGGTAGGGATAAAGAAAAAGGTTGCCAAACACATCCAGAGAACAAAAAAACAACAGCTCACACAAATAAAGCATTGAACATCAGAAGAACATCAGACTTCTCAAGAGGAACAAACTGTGGCTTCAAAACTCTTCAGAAATATAATTTCCAACCCAGAATTCTATACTCAGCCAAACAACCAAGTATAGAGGTAGAAAAAATACATTTTTAGGTCTTACATTCTTTTCTTCTCAGACACCCTTCCTCAAGTGGCTACTGAAGATGTATTGCACCAAAATATGAGAAGAAAAAGAGGAAGACAATCCAGGAACCTGGAAATCCAACACAGGAGAAAAATGTGAAGAGAAAAGCCAGGATAATGACTGAAGGAAAGACCCAGCTGTCTTGCTAGCTCAAGAGAAATGAACAGAATGGAGCAAGAGGGTCAAGGGCCTCAGGAGGGATGCTTCCAAAAAGAAACGAAACTGAGAGGCTATCTTATGTATTTAAATATTTTCACTGTATTGAAGTGTTTGCAGTGAATTAGTTGTGACTACAAGGCAAACTAAGCAAATGAAAAATGAAGAAAAACAAAAAACTACAGGAAAAAAGGTTATGGTTCTCTGAACAGTTCTCTTGTTAATAACTACAAAACCATAAACCCTAAAGTGTCAGGTACGTTAATTCAGATAAATGATTATTTAAATCAGGTGAAATCCTAAATTAAATCAGGTGAATATTAATTTCATCCCAAATGGTGACTTGTACAACTATATTGAAAGAACGAGAGGAAAAATGTGGATATTTTGGATTGTATATATTGGGTTGTCAGAAAAGTCATGACACAGTTTTGCAACGAAAAACAGAAAAAAATATGTCATGACTTTTCCAACAACCCAATAAGCTGAGTATTGGCGGGAGGGACGTTAGGGGGTATAAGAGAGCTAACTCCAATGTTTTTAGAGACTAATTTATAATATCAACAACTAAAAAAATGCAAGAAATAGTAACACAATAAGTTTAAATAGTTTAAACCTGCAGACAAACAACACAAGAAATCGAGAAAATATTTGAAAATGCTTGCTTGAAAGAGTGGAATTCTCAAGGGGAGGGGGATGAGGCAGAGGATTACTACATTTTATTGTAAGCCTAATAATACTAGCTGGCTTTTTAAACTATGAAAAAATTAACATGAGAAAGAAAATGTTGGACATTTTAAGGCTACTTTATCATGAGCCTAGAGGAAAAAGCAATCAGACTCTCATCAGCTTCTAACAAGTTCATAGCTTTCTAAACTGCTAACAATAGTTATAGTAAAAGACTACAAACATACCTGATTCAAGGTATTTCTTTAATGATTCTTCAAGTGAAGGAACAGGCAGTGATGGAAGAGAATCCTGGTACTGAAATGTCCGTTCTTCAGTTGACTTAGCCAACTGGTTTTCCATGGTGCGATCACAACCGGAAAACTAATGAAAAAACACAGAGCCCTCACAACTTCAATCTCATCAATATTCTTACATAAGCTAGTTCCAATTCACTAAACCAACATTTAGGGAACACGGTATGTCCAGGACTTAGTCCTAGTCCTTAATAAATGCATAAACTTGTCAGAGAGAGAACCAATTTAAAAAAAAAAAAATTGTCGACTCTGAGGGGAAGTAGAGTTTGCCACCCCAAAATATGCCTTTTTTGGAATATTATTTTTGAGCTAGTTAGTAGTTTTAAGAAACAAAAGATTCAGGAAAAACCTTTGACCTTCCCTATAACTGCCTAAAAGAATTTAGACAGAGGACCTGTTCCAGAAAGGGAGCTATCATCATATGTAAGTATAGTTTAATATATAGTGTGAACTAAGTGTGATAGGGAGGAACCTAATAAGGCATTTGAACAAAGTCTTCTCTGTGTCCTATTGTGAAAGATAACCCAGCAAACATTTATTTACCAAACATTTGCTTTTCCACCTCCATGTGAATTGCCTTCCTTCCCTCTGAAGTCTCAAACTATAACCCCCACCCCTTCTCCTTCATTCAAGATGGCATAGAAACCTTAACTGCTAGATCTGTCCTCAGGTCCCATATTCTTACAGAATTCCCATATGTACATACGTAATACATTTAGTTATTTTCTCCTGTTAATCTGTCTCATGTCAATTTGATTATTGGACCGACCAGAAGAATTTAGAATGGTAGAAGAAAAATTATTTTTCCTCCCCCATAACTCAAAATGCTAGAAGTCAAGGAGTAATTAGTGGCCACTATAACTGTCATTTACTGAGTCCCTACTATTTGCCAAGTATTGCAGTATGTGTTCTAGAAAATGTGTTATCTGCCTAATCTTCATATTATCTTCATAAGGTAGCATTCACTGCCATTTTACATATGAAGAAGCCAATATTCAGAGAGATTTAGTAACTTGCTTAAGATTAAACCAACAGCTTAAACCCAGATCTGTTTGACCACAATCAAACAGCCCTACACAAGGGCTACATGATATTGGGGGAGGGGACCTGCAACAAATCTAAATGGGTGAGTAGAATTCAGATGTGTAAAAAAGGACGGTGGGCTGAGAGAGAGAATTCTGAAGAGGTATAAAGAGGTATAGTCATCCAACTGTAGAGGTACAGAATATTACAGAATACATAAAATCACTTGACAAGTTGCTATGACCTAGTTGTGCAGATGCTGTGAGGCCTACACAGAATGGTTTCAAGTATCCCAAAGAAATCTTGAACATTCTCCATAAATGTATTAATTTTCATCAGAGAAATCAAACTAACCCAAAATGTGAATAAGGTGTACAAGTGCTAAATGAAAAATGAGATTTCTCAAAAAAGCCTTTATAAATCAAATTTGATATTAAAATAGCAATTGAGAAATCAAGGAACATTAATGTTGAATAAGAATTTCCCGTCCTTTCAAATATCACCTTTCAAGAATGAACAGCAAAGTCAAACAAAATATTCCACTCATAGAAGGTTACAGAATAAAGCATTATCAAAGGGCGGGACAGAGACTGTTTTCAGCCAATATAATTTTCTCCCTTCTTTCGTAACTGAATCCTGAGTTTCAGTGGGGTTATACAGCCACACAGTTGTATCTTTCCTACTCTCCCTTGGAGCTCAGTATGATTTGGGGATGTATGTGACACCTCCTGGCCCCTATAAAAAACTACATGTGTTCTACCTGTGCTTTCTCTCCTTCTCACTGCCCAGAAGGTAGTGCCAACTGGAACAGCACCTTGGACCCATGTATGAAAGACATGTACAGGCATATCTTGGAGATACTGCCGGTTCGGTTCCAGACAGCAGTAAAACGAGTATCATAATAAATCAAGTTGTAATCGTTTTGCTGGTGCAGGGTCTTGCCTTCAATTTGTAAAAAAACACAACATCTGTGAAGCGCAACAAAGCAAACCACAATAAAAGCAAGCAATGCCTGTACTGAGGTGGCCAGAACCTTCCCACTAGCCTTGGACACCTCCCTGTAGATACATGAAAAACAGAAAACAGAAACCTAAAACCTTTGACCTTATTCATGCCATTGTATTTTGTATTTTGGGCTTTGTTAGGATAGAAGAGCTTAGCCTATAACACTAATATAAAGAGCTAATTAAAAAATGAGGTACAACAAAGATCTCATAGCTCCTCAGCTTCTTCCTGTCTTATGACTTTGGCTGCACTTCACTGTGACCATCCCTAAACATGGCTTTAGGCCTAATGGAAATGTAGATCTGGGTTCAAATACCAACTCGGCCACTTTCTAGTCACATGCCCCTGGACAACTAACTTTAACTGAATTTCCTTATCTGTAGACAGGATAATCACATAATCAGATAGGGCTGTTGTTAGGACTTTTTTAAAAATGCCTGCAAAAGTACATTATAAAAGCAATCTAGTTGAGACAACCGTATTATGCTAGGCAGAATGTCTACGAATGCCCCCCATGATTCCACGCCCTCTAAGCCCCAGAACCTGTGAATATGAGATTATCACTCCCATGATTGTGATCGTGTTATTTTTACACAGCACAACTGACCTTAAAATAGGGAGATTATCCAGGTGGGCCTAATCTAATCACTTGAGCTGTTAGGAGCAGAAAGCTTTCTCCAGCTGGGGACAGATGTGTGGGGCACATTAAAAGCATGAAAAGGACTGGAGGTGCTGTCTGGCTTTGCTGATGCCGGTGGTCTTATGGAACCGAGAGAGACCCCGGCTAACAACCAGTACGGAAATGGGGACCTCTGCCCTGCAACTTCATGGAAATGAATTCTGCCAACAATGTCAATGATCCTGGAGGTGGATTCTCGCCCCCCAGGGCCTCTAGAAAAGAGCTCAGAACTACAGAAACCTTTATTTCAGCTTTTTGAGATGCTAAGCAGAGTATCTAGCTAAACCTACGCAGGCTACTGATTTATAGAAACTGAAATAATACATTTGTGTTTTTTTAACTGTTACATTTGTGGGAAATTGTTATGGCAGCAATAGGAAACATATATATACATATATACAGAAAAGATGAGCTATTCTCTGTATACCTCCCTGCCATTTAACGGACTCTAGGAAACTGAGACCAAGAGCACCAATTCCTTATCCACTGCAGTCTTAACTGACAAAGAGGTACACATTAAAAATATGAAATATCAGATTATTTCATAAAGGATTGTTTTGAATTCTCAGCCACAAACATTAAATTATAGAATTCCAAAAGAACGTATATATGCATTAAGATAATGATGACACTGGGTTTAATTATAGGTGGGCAATTATAGGAGCAATAAGATGTGGAAAAGAGAATCAGGTACTATAAGTTAATAAAAAAATAATAATAAATAAAGACTGTCACATACCAGCACACCAAGATGAATTGTTCAGGAACGCCAAGGAGCCTGTTGGAATAATTCTGTGTTGTGATCACAGGGGTCTGAACTAGGCTGTGACTGCAGGAAGAAAGAAACAAGCTTAACAATTGCTGGGAGAGGGGAAAGTAACAAAAACTGTTGAAAGAAGGTGGAAGACAGACAACCTAGAGGTTGAGAGGCCCCAAGTCTCAAACTTTTGGGAAACCACAGCAAACACATGCAAAAACTCCATCTGCTAGAAAGTTGGATAAAAATTACTATCGGATTAACTGGGTTTTGGACAACCGCACTCCCTCCCATTAGACAAACCCACCAGATACAACTAACCTCCCGGGGGCCCCGGATCTGGTGCCGGAGCCCTGCCCCAAGGCGACAAGGAGTTCAGAGGCTGGCTCTGGAGGCTGGGGGCGCAGAGGGCGACAGGAGCTCGGAGACTCCTCCCACCAGCCCAAGGGCAGCTCTGCACAGTCCAGAGGCCACGAAGCGAAAGCGATCCAACCCAGCACCGCGACGGAGCAGCCTAGCCCCCCGACCTCAGGGGCACCTCTCTGAACCCCGCTTCTTAACACGACACCCTCGCCGAGCCCGGGCACCTCCGCCGTTCTGCACTATTTAACTCTTCGACACGACTTAACTTTCCCCCACCCCGGACGGGCTCGGGGAGGGCGGTGGCGCCGCCTCCGCGGGCCTGCGTGGCCTCACCCACCGCGCTTCGCCTACTCCACAGCCGACCACCGCGCGGGCCCACTCCCTGAAGGCGGCGGAGGAGCGGGGAGCTGGACGGCAAGCCGCGAGGGGCCGACCCCGCGGTCACCCGGGCGCGGGGGTTGGATGGCAGCCGCGAGGGTCCCGCCCCATCCTTGAGGCCGGGGCGGGCCGGGCCTGCGCTCTGTTGGCACCGGCCCCGCCTGCGGCGGGCGGGCGCTCGAGTCTGGTTGCGGGCCTGGAAAGGGCTGGCGGGACGCCCAGTGAACTGTCCAAGCCCTGCCGGGCAGCCGCAGTTAACTACCTGCTGCACCCGGAGCACAGCGCCCAGGCCCGGGACACGGCTGCGCTCCGCCCAAGCAGGTACCTAACTCGCCTGGGTGGACGCAGGAACCACGACTCAGATCCATTTTCGCCCAACTGCTGCAAGACTCGGGACCTGTTTCCCTTTCTGTTCTGGTCCCAGCTGCGGCTTCCCAGCCGTCCTCCTCCTTCCTAGTGCGACCTGTTTTTGCAGCCCCAAGCAAAGAAGTTACACCAACACCTTTTAAAGGAATCTTATTGTTCACCAATGTCCTGCAAAGAGAACAGTGGCCACACTAATACCTACTTGACCCCCTTTCCATTCATCCACTGAGGTTAAAGTTTGCCCGGCGTGGACATGCTGCAGCATTCACTGGGCACCATCCTGGGCCTCCCTACCACAGACAGGTCTTTGAATCCCTCAGAGATGCTCACACTGCCAGGTTGATCTTGTATACCAGACCAAGAAATGGAGTTTTCAACCAGGATGGAGCTAAACAAGCTCTAGAGCAGGGATGTCAGACTCAATTAAAACACGGGCCATTTGGTGCAACAGGCAAGATTCACGCGGGCCACATCACATTTACAAATTTTGTTAAATTTATATTCTGAAGTGAGGATTCAGGAATATGGATAAGATAATTAAAACACTATATAATTGCTTTTATTTAAACATTTATTTTATTTAATGTATTTATAAAACTAAAATTATTGTTTTTTACCCGAGTGCTCTTTTTAACCTTTTTGCTATTGGGATCTGTTTACATAGGTGAAACTGAGAGTGGCAGACATATCGCTTCCAAAGTCGCAGGAACTGAGTCAGTGCGTTTATACACGCCCACAGGCCCCCAGGAATGGCACTGGGCCACGTGTATACTCGTCTTCAGTAGATAAAGGGTTAACGAGGGAATTGTGTGTACCGTATTGCCTTGTTCTCCCCTAAGCGCTATTTTCTTCATAACAATTTTTTCTATTTTCATTTTATTTCAGAGCATCGTGGGCCACAAAAAATTACCTCGAGGGTCGCATGCGGCCCGCCGGCCGCCAGTTTGACACCCCTGCTCTAGAGAAAGATAGTAATGTAGTTAACTTAGTTTCACAGGTTAATCTATTTTACATTTACCTCCTGAAATAAAATTTCTGTTTCATCTTAAATACACCGTCCATTTATTGTGAAAGAAAAAACAAACAAACAAACAATAGTTTACAGTGGCTCTGAACTAGATCAAGTACAAAGAACTATTAGATTTCAAAATAACATGTCATTACAGGTCCCAGGCCTTTAACTGCCTTTCCGAACTCCCTTGATAGTAAAACCTGACCTGAATGGAACTGAGGCTGTCTATTGATATAACCGAATATTCACTTGGTGTAAATATTCATAAGTTTTCTACAGAAACATTAATGCGTTTGATTACAGTGCAGCTCCAGCCCTTGCTGGAGATACTGCATAATATATGGCAGACACACCTTCCAAGTAAAAGTTCTGAATTCTGAAATATATCAGGCCAAAGTGTTTCAGACATGGGGTTGTAAATTTGTACCAGTAATTTCTGAAGCGGTAAAGAACTTTTCTCTCAGTATACAAGTGCTGTGTTGTGGATAATGTTAAAATTGGCTTATTATCCTGCAGAGAATAATAAAAAGCTACTCAAAAACCTTCATTGTACTTTTTCTCATTTCTGGTGAATTTTGGTAACTCTTAAAAAGTTTATACATGTTTAATGCCTTTTGGTGACATGGAGTTTAGGGTCACTTAGCTTCACTGTCTTTCTCCTAGTCTTAATATTTATTTAAAGGGAAACAAGATATTTCTGTAAATATTTTTGGATTCTTGGAAAAAGAAAAAATTGTGAAACTGAATGAATGAGAGGAACAGAGATTTGAAAGTGCAGTGGGAAAAAATGTAATCTTTAAAAATATATTAATAAATAGATGTACCAGTAATCCTAAAAATCATATACAAGGTGTGATTAAAAAATACATGAATGTTTAAATTAAAAAAAATTTTTTGCAGTAAATTATTGCCATTAGCCTCCCTCAAAATACTCCCCCCTCGCTTCAAACACACTATCCCATTATTCTTGCCACTTTCTGAAGCAGTTCTGGAAGTCCTCATTCATGAGTGTCTTTAGTTGCGCTGTCATGGCTGCCTCGATGTCCTGAATCATTGTGACTTTAGGGAAGAACCAGAAGTTGCATGGTGCCAGATCTGGTGAATAATGTGGATGAAGACAGTGTAATGTTTTTAACTGACAGAAAATGCCATATACCATAAGTGTGTGACACAGAACATTGTCATGATGAGGATGATTTATGGCATACTGTTAAACACACCTTCTCTCAACCATAGTTCATACCCAACTAACTGCACTGAACAAGTTGAAACTTGTCACACACTGTTACTAAGGTTCCACACGCTGCTTCCCATGTTGAAGATTCCTGCCTTTCCATTGAAAGATACTTGCAGCAGCATTCACCATATTTTGTGATCACAATGAAAGGCTCCATGTCACGCATTGCTTCTGGTGTACAGCAATTTCTGTCAAATAAAAACATTATGGTGTGTCCTTATCCACCTTATTCACTGAATCTGGCACCATGCGACTTCTGGCTCTTCCCCAAAGTCAAAATGACCATGAAAGGTAAACATTTTGAATCAATTCTCATTGAGGCAGCCACAACAGAGCAACTAACGAAGCTCATGAAAGAGTACTTTCAAAGCTGCTTCAGAAAGTGGCAAGGATGATGGGATAAGTGTGTTTGAAGCGAGGGGGGAGTATTTTGAGGGAGGTTAATGGCAATGTGTCTTTTACTGCAATAATTTTTTTTAATTTAAACATTCATGTATTTTTTTATCACACCTCGTATAAGTAATTTGTTTTTTATTCAAAATGCATAGTATATATTTTAATGGCAGATTCCAAATTATGTTCTGCTCAGGATAAATTTGGACTAGTCTGCATTCCTTAGAGTATGGTGTGAGATTTTGGCTAGTGAGGAAGATGTTTCAGGCACATAAAGTATATTGATTATAAAATGTCCCAAGATTAAAAATTGTGAGTCAAAATATTTTTCTGGAGAAATAGTTGTAAGTACTACAAGCGATAATAAGTTTTTTTTTTAATTGCCATAAAAGATCTTCCACTTTTAGTCCTATACAGCTCTTTTTCAGTATATCACAAATAGGAAAAATTCTCACAGACAAGTCTGAACAAGTTCCACCATAAACAGTATAAAAATACTGGAAGTTTACATTTTGATCTGCATAGCAGTTTACTGCTAAGACTTGTATCTCTAAGAAGTAATGAGGTATAGTATAAATAGCTCTAATCTATAGGACAAATCTTTAACCTACTTTCATTCCAATGTATAAAATGAACATATTGATGAAATAGTTATGTGATCTTATTTTTAATGGGGGGGGAGGGGACCATAGAGAGGTGGTCATTTGGGGAAGAACCCAAAGCAAATTAAAGTATGCTTGATACAAAGAGGTCAACCTGACATTAAAAACTAGTTGCACTACCAACAGCAGATGAGCTTATAAAAGGGTCTCTTTTTAGCACTAACCATTTATTTGGGGTTGCCTCTGATAATATTTACTGTATATAAAATTTTACCACCAAAATCCTATGGAAGAGTTAAGACAACTATGTTTTTATATTTCAGAAAAAATTGTTATTCCTAAAGAGAACATTTTTTTAATTTAACAGCTTTATCAAGATAATTTACATGCCATAAAACTCCATTTTAAAGTATATAAATCAGTGGCTTTTACTATATTCACAGGGTTATGTGCACCATAATCTAATTTTAGAACATTTTAATCATCCCCCCAAAAAAACATTGTACCCATTAGCAATTACTCCTCACCCACTCCCACCACTACCTCTTCTTAAAGAAATGTCTGTTCAGATTCTTTAACCATTTTTAAATTGGGTTGTTTGTCTTTCTGTTGTTGAGTTGTAGGAATTCTTTAATATTCTGCATACAAATCCCTTATCAGATATATGATTTGCAAATATTTTTCTCCACTAGTGTCGGTTGTCTTATCACTTTCTTGATAATATCCTTTGAAGCACAAATGTTTTTAATTTTAATGATGGTCTACCAATCAATCTTCTTTTATCATGTGATTTTGATGTGTAGCTAAGAAATCATCACCTAAGCCTAAGATCACAGAGACTTACTCTTGTGTTTTCTTCTAAGAGTTTTATAGTTTTGGCTCATACCTATGATCCACTTTAAGTTACTTTGTATGTGTGATGTGAGGTAGGTGTCCAAATTCATTCTTTTGCCTGTAGAAATCCAGTTGGCCTACCACCATTTGTAGAAAAGACTATTCTTTCTCCATTGAACTGGCTTGGGCCCTTTGTTAAAAGTCAATGGACCATAAATGATAGGGTTTATTTCTTCACTCTCAACGCTTTTTTGTTCATCTATATGTCTGTCCTATGCCAGCACCACAGGCCATATGTCCCTACACAAATTATATTATCAAGAATCTAACTTTGAAAAATCATCTGA